TCGACGCGGGCGTGAAGCTACGGAGAGAGAGAGAGAGAGAGAGAGAGAGAGAGAGAGAGAGAGAGAGAGCTTTACGAGATTAATCGTCGTCCCTTCGGCATGACGAGCAGAGCGGCCATCTTGGAAACACGCTCCCGAATACACCGTCGTCATCGTGTCCCGCGGCCTCCGCTCACTTACTCTCTATCTCAACCTAATCTCTCGCGAAATTACCTACCGCGAGGTGTAATTAAATCGTTACGGCAGCCTCGCCGCGAGGATCAGCCCTCGAGCGCTTAAAATGGCGGCCCGCTTTGAAGGCGCTCGCCTGTGCAACTCGCCGAATTTAACGGCGCTCGAGTCCTCGCGCTTGTTGAACTGCGTCGTCATCGTCCTCGTGCTGATGAGATTATGCGATATTAATTGCGAATCTAACCTAACTTATCCCAACCTTAGGCGCGCATATTTAAGCGCCGTTTACTCGCCGGCTAATTGAACCCCGCCTTCCACTCTTTGACGAAGATGTTCGCCCAACCACTTCGCCTAACGCTCGAGTTGGCAAGGTTGTCACGGAAGGCGAGCTGCTCTCCCTATTCCCCGAGTTTTCCACATCTTTTGCCACTTAAACGGGCTCGAGGATCAATCAGTCGACGAACTCCAAAGAGTTCTTTGGAGATACAACGTGTCCCAATTACTTCTCCTCTCATCTTCTTTTTCCTCCCAAACGTCCAGTCACGATGTGAATCGCCCTGTAGCGCTAATAAGGCGGCGATTTGAAAGAAGAAGCTGCTGGACACGTTCCAGTGTTGGTATCACCATATTAACCCGATTCTTGTTTCGAGGAGCCTCAGGGGCAACGGGGCCATCCCGGTTCAGCTTGCGCAGAACTTCGGGAAGCTTCCCTCCATCCCGTAAAACATAAAACGTAACCCAATCCTAACCCAACCCGACCCGGGCGCCTATCTTGAGGGACTATTTAGAAACTAGTTCGGAATGAATTCCGATCGGAATCATCCGGTCATTCTCTAGATTTTCCCGTGTATTTTATAGGGAATCATTGGACGATTCCGAATAATACGTGCCCCGATCATTTTCAACAGTCCCACCCACGTGGTCGGCAGAGATCCTCGAGCTTAAAGCGGGACCTGCTCTCATCAATCCCGTGCATTTTAATTTCGAGGAACAACGTACCCTCCACCCGTAACAACGAACAATAAAACGGAACGCAACGTCCCAATTATTCTCCCCTTTCAAGCCTTTGTTCCCAAGAGATTTAGGACACTCGATCACACGAGCTGAATCAGCCTGTAGCGCGAATACGCCGGCGAATTGGAAGAAGCTACTGGACACGTTCCAGATCGCACCGGCATGTTAACCCGACCTAACGCAATCCCAAGCCAACCTAACGCAAGCGTAACCCTAACCCGATCCGACCCAACCTAATCCGAGGCGGCGGATGCTCGCGTTTAAAGCGGAATGGCGGCGGCCAATGGACACAGCACGGGCCTATGTATCATAATCCCGACAGTCCGGGGTTAGTTAGCAGTTTGTTTGTTCCCGAATATCCGGCCGGCCCGGATGCCGCATGCCGCATGCGGCATGCCGGATGCGGCGGGGCGCGCGGACGCATACTAACGCGCAGCGAATAGTTCGGATGCGCGCGAGGCTTTTTCGAAACGAGGTCGAAACCCGCCGCCGATGCAACCGCGCTCTTTCGGCCACCCGGCTCACGTGGGCGCCCCACGGCGACGGCGCGAGCACTGATCCAAGGATATTCGGCTGCACTGAGAGGGATAGTCATGGTGTTACCTCCGGCCTTATCTATTTTTCTTTATCTTTCGGCTTTACTCGCGAAAATAGTACGCAGATAAAAAGTGTTGGATCCGAGTAAATAATTACTCTGATACTTTGTAGCTGGTCTTTATTCGGATTAAATGATATTTTATCGATCCAAGTAAAAATCTATTTACTTGATCCAAATAAAGTTTATCACTGATCCAAGTAAAAATCTGCCGAGTTTGGGAGTAATTGTTTACTTGAATCTAATACTTTTTTCTTCCCGTGCAGTAGCAATATGCATGCGAGATTATTATCGTTTGATATTATAGTAATACTTATTAAAAAAATGGCTCTACATACAATAATTCTTGCGCTATAGTGTATAGTTGTAGTATTATGATCACAAATACCGAGTATTTTTCTCTCAGTGTACGTGAGCGATGGATCGTGGAATTTCGCCCGACTCGATCCAAGCGAGGGTAGTAGTGACCGCTGGAGATACGGTTATCGTGATTTTATTTTCGGGAATAGACATATGTATCTTTTTTGCATTTATAATGCAATTTAAACTTTCAGTGCTCAGCCAGTTATATCGAACCTATTATGTCGCGAATGAATTGTCCCGTTCTTTTTTTTAGCGGGATATAAGAAAAAAAAAATCAACGTAATTTTGGATAATTTTACCGTAATTTTTAGTCTTGCAAAATCCATCACGATGTTTCGCCTCCTAATTTTTACCACTTAGTTGCGTAGTCTTCTGAAATCAAGTAATTTAACGTTTAATTAACGTTCTGACAATTCGGGCAGACTGAAAGCAGACATACATGCGTGAAGGGCTAATGCACGTTGTCGGTTGTTTTGAAGCCGAAGCTAGTATTTTCCACCGGCTATTTTTCACAAGTCAACATAAACATTAGTACACTGTTGATCGGCCGTTTCCAACATTGCCCAATCTTTGTTCCCGGTTATTTTTCTTTTTTTCCGTTAAACTATCGTTGAAACACGAGATAACTCTGGTCGGCAACGTTCGGTAAAATACAAGTTCTCTCGTGACCCGTCAGTAATGTTAAAATATTTAAAAATGTTAAGATATTTCTCGCGTATTTGTATAAAATATATCGAGTTCGACGATTCGAGTCTGAAGGTAGAATCTATCTCTCTCTTTCTCTTTCTCTCCTCTCTCTCTCGAGAAAGAGACACGTTTGATATTTTTCAGGTAACAGATGAATATAAATGCACCCGGGTAGTGTGAATACGCGCCCTCACACATTACTATTATAACACACGTGCGGAGGAGAAGTCACATTCGTCCTGGGATTAACGCGGCCTTACATTAGCGCTAGGACCCGTTTATCCGAGCTTAATTAAAAAATACACCTCTCTCAAGTCGCACGTTGACCCGTCGCTCGCGAACTTTTCACTTTGGCCTGCCCAGTGGCCGCGGAAGTTAAATTTCACTAATATCGCGTTCCAAGGGGACGACAAGGTTGCGAACTAAAAAATCTCACGGCTCTCGGACGGGACTTTGAATAACGTCACTACGGGATTCGACTTCGCATTAATCAATTACAATGAACGAACGAACGAACGAACGAACGAACGAACGAATGAACGAACGAACGAACGAACGAACGCGTATCCTCCTCGCTCGCTCGCTCGCTCGCTCTCTCTCTCTTCTTCAATTAATAGACAGCTGTTTGATTTGGAGTTTTTCGCGCATCGGTGCTGATTGAATTACCCAGGCGTCGCCCGGCATCCCGATGCACCGTCTCCATTTCCTCTCTCGCCGTTCCGACCCAACGGCCTGTGACCTTCCGCCATCCACCATCCACTATGCGCCGGCTTCTTTCATTCGATGCGCCCTGGTCTACACATTCCTGTGCACTTTGATACCGCATCCTACAGTGCGTTCCAAAGTGCCCACCTTTCTCCAACTTGAGGGCGAATTCTGTTAGTTTAATTACTTTCACATCCGTGCTGTTTGTCGTCGCGGTAGCAGAAGTCAAAACGTTCTTCACGTACTCGGGAGGACGTCTCGCTGTCGTATTTTACGAAAATATATTTGCTGTCTCATCTGCACTTGTGAGAATATAAATATATTACGCTTTGAAAAGAATAACAAAAAATACTCTCGCGGTCTAATTTAGATCGAAGTGTATACAGTGAGAAACATTTTGTATTTTTGTTCAAAGTTTTGTGTTGAATTCTCAACGTAGCTGTTTGTTGATGTAACGCGTGAGAGATTGGTGTTATTTGAAGATTTTGTGTAAAATCGACATTCAACCATTCTTTTGAGTTGAAGTAATTTATATGCGAGTATGCACTTCACGTAAAGATTACGTAGTTTTAAAGTTATTTTTCCTCGCGTCAAGAAATAGTTGCCATCTGTTAATTTTCGACATGCTTTGTGTTACTCCTTAACATATTCGCCTTTCTGTGTTAAATCAACGGAAAAATTCGCATGGACCGTTCGGGACATGTGAAATGTGTTAAATTCAGCATAAAGTTTTTTGCCATGCGTACATTCGATGCGTTCGTGCATGAAGAACCGATTTTAATTAAATTTAAATTATTTCAAGCGGGATCACGCAGCTCCGATTATTAAATTTACTTTAAATTGAATTTATAAATTTAAAACCTCAAAATTCAATCATATTGTGTTTATTGCGAGGATTTCAATTACATCGAGACGATGTGCGTCGCATCGGACGGTCGATGAGAGAGAGAGAGAGAGAGAGAGCCGGATCGAGCTTCGTCGGCGACATCTCAGGGCGCGAAAGAGTCGCGTGAAGATGAAGAGACCGCCGAAAGTTTCGCGTTAGTTATGAACACGCGGGATGAAATGTGGCACAATAAACGGGAGTATTTCATGATAATGCGGACCGCTCGTGGGGTGATTCACGGCGCGATGCGGGCCGCGCGCGCGGTAAATGCGAGATGATCGTCGGCGATATTAAAAGCGATCTTCATCCGTTCCTTCGCGCCAACTCGTCGTCGTGTTTTCCGCATCGGGAGGAGCATCGGAGCCTCACCGGCGTAATCAACCGAACGCGATAAATCAAGCAGCCCCCCTCGACCCCCGAATAAAGGGCGGCCTTGCGTGATAGGTAATCTCTAGCCCGTATCTATCTGTGCTCGCGGTCGGTGTAGGCGCGCTCTCGAATTAATGCATAAATGTATAAATTAATTATATATCGGCGTGATCAAACACATACACATCATGGGCGCGATCTGAATTGCAGATGAAGAATCCGGCATCTACACGGGCAAGCCGCTGCCCACGTACAGGCCAGCCTCCCAATTGGTGCCTCTCAGGGGCACCGCGAGACTCTTCTGCGAGGCTTACATGGGCAAGGTGAACCTGCCGGACGCCAGGAATTCTGTCACCTGGTGGAAAGGCGGCAGCAACGTCACCCTGCCCGCTGACGGCAGGATAGCGCAGCACCGAGTGTCCCGGTGAGTAATCCGGGAGTAAAATCATCGGCGACGCGCGCGCCGGAAATAAATCGCGCACTCCTCCGCGGAGCCGACGACGCGATCGCGACACGGGAGAAACGCGCGATAATTTGGTGAGAATAGAGGTCATGGCTGTTGGAAACTGCTCGAAGTGGGTCGTCCGCACGAGGGAGAGCGTAGGTGAAACGCACGGGCGAAATTTCGGGGGAAAACGGAGAGTCGCTTTCCGCGAGAGTATCTGGCTCAGCATCGTCACGGTGGCCACCGGTAACCGACGCTGCGATGTTACCGTGTCTCGTAACATGTAATTAGAAGGTTGCGAGGCTCAGAGTCGTGTTTTCAGTGGCGCATCAACGGGGCCACTCGTTAATTTCGTATTTCTCAGGCAAAATTACATTCCCGCGCATTGATTTCATTATCGGGATAATAAATTAGAATTAACTTGAAGTGAACATATGCATGCGATATTACAGATACAAACGAGAACTGTATTAGAAAACTAATAGAGACACACAGATAATGGAGAGAGGTGTATAAAAGTATTTAAATATGTACCTGCGCACATATATTTCGTGTATTACTATGAATGATGAACTTTACACCACCATATTTTGAAAACAAAATGGTCGGTAATTCGGAAATTTGTGTATAATGTTGGCGTGTCAGTCTTTAATATCATAATAGTTTTTCATCAAAGTTTTGTTTCTAGTTTAGAAGATATGGGGAAAATAGATATTAAAAATAGCACGCTAATCTCTCAAGGAGTACGAAAAGTATCAATTTCAGTTGCAAATAGCCTTCGAATGGTCGGTCTTTTTTTAATTATGCGAACAGGTAGATGATGTTTCAATATACATATAGTGCAAGTCTCATTGAATTCTTATCAAACTCATTTCACCTCACAACCTCCTGAATTACACTGAAAATTCCTTACGTGGTCGATAGGGAGCCGATGGAACGAGATTTGTTTAATTACGTTCATTTTATTTCTATCTCCTTTATTATATTCTTATTCTAATTTCTTCTTTTCATTTTTTCTTCTATTTAAAACCTCCAGTTACGTTTCTCTTTATTGTATTCTCAGTAATTCAATTAGCAATTAAACTTTTACTATATCGTCGATAGTCGACGAGTCGGGAAGATACCGATTAATATTCCAACCGACTCCAACCGAAGGTACATATTTCCGCGGGAGTTCGCAGGATGCTCCGATCAGGATGTGGGGGGTTAAAATTCACGTAAATGTATTCGGTACGCCTGCGTTGTGTGCGCTTTGATCGGGGAACGCGCGCGACTCGATGTGTGCTCTCTCGGTAATTCCGAAGTAAGAGGGAATTTAAGCCTCCGGAACGTCGGTTACGTTCGCGGTAACGCTGCATGCTCGAGAATACACAATACACCGAGGAGGTATCAACAAAGAGAGAGGGGGAGAGAGAGAGAAAGAGAACACCTGCGTACGCACATACGTACGCAGAGCTCGGCGGCATCCTGTAGAAAGCGACGGGCGAACGTGAACATTCAGCCGGGCTGTTGCGAGCCATTCTTCCGCGCCACGCGGCGCTGCATCGCGCGCTCCCAACCACGCGCAGGTATCTGTCGTCGCGCGGAGAGCTACTCCATCCCCCGTAACTCAATTTTCCCGACGATGCACCGTCACGGTGCATCGCCACGGTAAACACGGCGCGCGGCGCGGCGAAACCACCGACTCGACAACACGGCCGTGCCGGCAACATTACAGCGAAATTACACTCCCCGGGTCCCGTCGAGAAAGAGAGGCAGAGAAGCAAGAGGAGCCGCGGAGGAGGAGGAGGTAGTGACGCCGGTGGTGGTGGTATATGCAACGCGTGCGAGCGCGCGGACGATCCTACGTCGAATGCAATTTTATTCCGGGATAATTGGATCCACCCCGGGGGCCGCAGACTCCGAGGCGTCGTGCTCGCTCGCGTCGTTCGACCCCTGAATCACGATTCCTCGCCGACGGAGATTTCCAACGGATAGCTCCGGCACCGGATAGCAGCGAGAGACCGAGATGGAGAGCCTGCTCGAGCCGAAAATGTGGACTTTTGCGCTTTTACCGAGGCCCCGGCTTTGTTTCGCCATCCTAATTTCAACGGGATCTTGCGGCTCTCTCTCTCTCTCTCTCGAGCGCATAATAGACTGGAATCTCGAGATTCTCAATCGCTGTTGATGATTATTTCTCGGTTAATAGCTTCGAAAGTTTTGTCCCCGAATAAAATGAATCTCGTTACATAACATGAAAAATTGAGCAATCGGGCTTTTTCAAGGATTTTGAGCTTATAATATTACTGGGATTACTCAAGGATCGGTTCAAACGAAATGGAAAGATTGATTCTTTGTGTGCAGTTGTCCGAGAATATTTAGCACGCGCGTCGTTACATGCTAAACACATTTATCCTCCCACAATAATAATATTGACGATAATATTAATATTGACACGATAATAACGATTAACATTGATAATATTAATATTTATAATAATATATATATATATATATATAATTATAATAAATATTTAAATAGCACCGTAACATTCGCGCTTTGGCTTCTCATGACAATATATTCTTTACGATTCGGCAACCATCCTACTTTTCGGGTGATATTTCACCCGAGCGAATTTAAGGGATATTTAAATGAATCGTCTGATAAATTCGGATTTTTCATACTAAATGAAACGACTATATTTTTATGTCGTTGTAATTTTATAAAACAACGTACACAAAGGACGGTAAAGCATTTACAAAGGACAAATTGGCATGCGTATTATTTCATAAAATTTTTAGAAACGAGATAAAAGTGCAACCGTTAGGCTAAATTAAATTTAATAATTAGACGAAATTCTCGCGGGTTGCTTAAAAATCATATTGTCACGATGGGTGCGTAATCTTCGAGGCCGTTTTCGACGTTTGCACGCGAGAGACGATAAGAATCCGCTATCTTTATAACCTTTGCGATGGTGTGCGAGCGTGTGTATGTGTGATGGCAAAGGCCCGATGGACTCCCCGAAGAATAGCCGTTCGCGAAATGAGCGCATTCGTCTCAAGGCGGGAACCCCGAATTCCCCGAGTACGAGCCGCGCGTCCTTTAATTAGTGGTTGGATTTGCTGCCGGTACATCTCACGCCGGCCGAACGTTGTTGTTCGCGTAAACTAGACTTTACATCAGCGGCGAGCCGGCGGTTTGCACCGGGCACGGGAAATTGAGTTAGGCGGGAAAAGCCGAAGGGAGTTAGCGAGGAAGGAGGGAGCGGAACGGAGTAAGATTTATTTTAACAATAACCCGTCAGACACGCGTACGTGCGCGAGCGGACAAATACGCACACGCACACACGCTACACAGTGGCAGGTTGGGAATTTTCTTAGAAATAAACGGGAAAGATGGGGACAAAGAGAGACAAAACGAGGACAAACCCCGGTGTTTTAAGTTATTCCGGAAATAACAAGTGACATGTAAGAATTCGCAATATAAATGACGGAAGGAGGTAGCGAGAGAGCGGAAGAACCGCGAATATCAAAAGAATGAGACGATATATATATATATATATATTCTCTCTTTTTCCAAATATATCCCCGTGTGACGAAACACGTGTTTTTAATATAATCACGAAAAGTAGAGCGTTTAAAATCGCGTTTAGAGAATCGAGAGAAATGTTCGGCGCGAATATAAATGGATATAATTCTCGGCAAACGTAGCGTTTTAATTCACGTCCGTGCGGAAATAGAAAGGACGAGAAAAAAAAACCAACGAGTGAAAAGTAACGCGCGCGAACGTTAAAACGACGACGAGAAATTATAAACTCATTGTAAAAAATAAAAGAGACAATTGAATCTTCGTACACTCGCGTGACTTTTCGTCAGCCCGTTGTTATTCATTTTGCCGTTCGCATTTCCCTCTGCGGTCCTACTTCCTTCCGAATCGGCGAAGAAACGCGCGTGTACAAGTTCGCACGCGGGGTTTTCGCGTGAAATATCGGCTCGTGGGAAATCGAACTCGCGGGCGAACGACGGAGTTAATTCGATCGTCGCTCCGAGAGCGAGTCGAAATTCCGCGTTCTTGAGGAGGAACTTGAGGGAATTGATGACGCTCATTGTCTTGAGATAAGGGTTCGAATTAACTTACAAGTGGGACGGTGAGGGCGCATTCGGAAAGCGGAAGCGAAGGTGCATTCAGAACCGACCGACGGGGGTTAGAGAAGGCGAGAAGAAGAGAGAGAGAGAGAGAGTGAGAGTATGAGGAAGGGCTGGAGGAGATTCCGGAGATTCGCGCGCTCACAGAGGTCGGATTATTAAATTTAATTAACACCCTCGGTGAAGCTGCGTCGGCAGCCATAACCGACGCAGTCGATAAAATAAAGCCGCGCCGAGGAATGCGATGAGAGAGAGAGAGAGAGAGAGAGAGAGAACGTTAACGCGTCCTTGTGGCCGAATATTAGCTTCTCAACAGATATCTTGCTTATCGCCTTCTCTCTCTCTCTCTCTCTCTACCTTAAGAAAGCTCGCCTCGTTTCTGGATGGAGTTTATAAAAAAGATTCTCGATAAAAGAAATATGTATAAACATTGAAAAAGAAAAATTTTAAAATTTATTTGTGTAATATAAGGTTTACTTCGCAGAATATAAATGTTTATTTAAGTACGGCAAAATACAACTTTATATCTAGCAAATAAGCCGATTAATAAGAAAACTTGGGTATATTTCACAAAAATATTTATTCCATCATTGCAGTAAAATTTTTTTTCAACCAATAAATATAATGAAGAAAATGTTACAAGAAACATTTGCGAAACAAAATTTCAATTTCCTTTCCTCAGTGAGTAATTCGTCTAGTTTTTTTCCTCTGATTTGCAAATATTTCTTTGTGCGAAAATCGTGCGAATCGGGGACAAAACAGTCTGTTCGTTGACAATAAGAGTCACCGTGAATACGCAGACTTTTCCGAAAGAGGTCTCGAGTGTTATTCTCTTGCGTAATCGACTTCTGCTCC